TATCGGTCATCAAATGTACAGGGCTGTTCACCCTATCAAACAGCCAACAACTCCTTGCATAAGCATGACAATTTGTAATTTTGAATTACATAGCTCTTTCAACATACAGAGTGGTGAAGTGTAGACTGCAGACTATGTAGCCTTGGGCTTTGCAGTCGACGATTTTTTTTTTGTTGTAAAATTGTCCCGTAGCTCAGTTGGTAGAGCATCGGACTCCCGGTAGTGAGAGCCCGGGTTCGAGACGCTCCGGCGCTCGATATATGAGACTCCTGACGGGGATGGTCTGCGGTTGGTGGGAGCAGCCGCAGCCAGTTGAAGTCAGTTGAGTGGGACAGGCCGTGTCCGGCTTTGAAGGGCACGTTAAACTTTGGCATCTAAATTCTCCCGTTACCCGGAATTGCACGATCGGACGGTAGGGGTCGGGGTCTACGCAACAAGCTCTGCTTAGCGTGGACTCCGGCTCTGTCAATCCGTCCATTCAAACATTCGAGCTAAATTTATATAAAAAAAATTGTAATGTCAATCACTCTATACTGCAGTTGCTCTGAGACCATTGGCTAAATTAGTATCGTCAGCTTTTCTATGTTAGTATTTTAGTGTCCTTTTTGAAGCAGTTTTGTGGTCGTTCAATCAGACCGAAGGTTAGATAAATTCCGGGTGCGGTTTTTCTCCGTCTGATGGCGGTTCGGTTATTCTGCCGGTGGCCGTGTTTTTATTTTACCTCGGACCCGCCGGGGATCAGTCGCTGCGCTCAGCGGGCCACTAATGGCGGCCATCCCACCGGCCAATAACAGTAACTGGCGATTGGTCCTGCTCTTGTCTCCTTCTATCTGGCAAAACCGGCTTAATTTGGCCGCACTGAGAGCTGGCCACGAGGAGGAATCCCGCCATATCGTTGATTTGGAACCAAACGGCAGCGAGACGAGCTCGTAAAGAGGCCCACCGGTCGGCCGAGAGCCTCCTCGATGCTCGAGTGGGGCCATTCAATTGGGCTCGCCAGACTGATTGTCCGCCGCCGCTAAGCCGTCGCGGGGGACGGGGTGAGGGGTGGAGTGGTGACCAACAGACCAGCGTGCCCCGGACGAGGCCAGGCACCTTTGATGGCCGTCCACTCGCTACGGCAGGGCGCTGACAAAGGAAATCAAAGGCCTTCCTTTTTGGTGGGATGGGATGCAGATATAAATGTTTCATACCATATAATATATTGCTTTATGCTGCAAACTGTGTGAGCACAACATTCATATAAAATGTCAAAGTTGTCAAGTACAGATGCCACAGAATGGAGCCGCATAAATCGGGTAACTATTTTGGTAATTATTATATTTTGGTATGTATGTACTTATATCTATTTTAGTATGCATTTATATTTTGGTATGTACCCGTGCATGTATGCTGCTGAATATCGAAAACAACGTTACAAGTTTTCATTTTCAATCACCAAACAAACGTTCGGCCGCTCCTAGCCAGTGACATTTCCCAGTGATGGTCGTCTGTGGGTGCCGCCCCCTCCGTCGCTCGCGGCCCGACCGGACATTAGTGTCACTCACAGACGGCCAAACACCCCTCTGGTCTGGTGTCAGTGCGAGCACTTAGCAGCCGGCCGGCGTCTCCGCCACCGGCGTAAAACTGCCGTAAAACATGCTTTATTTTAAGCAGCACAATGCCAAGTTTCGTATATGGCTCGTAAATTTTACGAAAACTCAATTGATTATTTTATCGGAGACCGATTTTATGGCAACGGTTCATCAGTGGGGACTGTGAATGCGTTTTTATGGGTGATAAATGCATTCATCCATTTTCCCTGCTAGCTATTTTTGCAGTAAACTAAGATAGCATCTCGCGCAACAAAGAACAGACGTAGCTCGAGCGAGCGATTCGCCGCTGCTGCTCCTGGCACTGTGCTGAGAGACTCTTTTCATAAGAACTGGAGCAGAACACATGCATCAGTGTTCGACTGATGGAATATGACATCCCGCAGACCTGCATTGAGCCATTCCAATCAGACAACTACCGATAGCGCACATAAAACGGGGTGGAGGAACATAATGCCACGTCTCAATGGTCTGTGCCTTTGATCTTGTCGATGTGATAGAATGGTACCCGGTGTAATCCTTAGAAGCAGGAATAAAATGAAATGATTCGGAACTTCAAAATATAAGATGTTAGAGCAAACGAGCTCAATGCTAGAAATTCGCATGTGAACGTGATTATTAAATGTTTTGGAACATATAGGTAAGATTATAAAATATAAAACATAAAAATTAGTAGCTACAGCATACAAATCCTTCTAATATGAAAACACCTAAACATGTATCAACCCTCGATGATCTGACTGTATTGATAAATGTAAAACAATTTGCTCCATCAGCTAGCGTTTTCATGAGGTAGCACGTTTAGAGCCAAGCCAACTATGAATCGCACATCATTCGCCCACTATGCACTACTAAGACACCGCTCTGAGATGCTGCGACTCGGGCGCTCGGTACCGTTGCCGAGTTTCTCGACCACTCGGCTCGAGGCAGACAGATCGAATCAGTCGACCCGACAGGCGCTGTCACGGGCGGCTGGAGCATCGCCCGCCCTGCGGCGGTGGCGGTGCGTCGGGAACATATCCGGCGCACATCTCGTGCCACCGCCCGCCGGAGCGCCGCTCTGCTCCCCAATCGAATGCGGGTCGCGCCTCGTCTTCCCTGCGCCACGAGCGTGCGAAATGTATCGTCCCGGCAGCGGCGGCGCTTCGGCAGATTGGAAATGTTATAATTCTGGCACAATCAGCGCCGGCGAGCTGCCGGCGGCGCCCCGTGCCAACCAAATCAGGACACTTTGCATAATGCCTTTGTCGGGAAACGGCCGCGGGCCAGGATTATCGGAGACATCTGTGTTGCTCGGGCGGGCCGGGGCTCAACAGCGGCGCCAACTGAAGAAACTCGCGAATACTGCCGAGAGAAGAAGAGAGCGGGCGCCGGGCGACCTTCCCCGGGGATGATTAATGACTCTCGGCGCCGGCGGAGCGCTTTGAAGCGACTTCAATCACTTGTCCCTGTTGCACCGGAGATGGCGGAGGAAAAACGTCGCGGCGGTGGGCCGTTTTTATTGTCCGCCTCTGCCGCCGACATTGATTCGGCCGGTGGGTGGCCGGGGAGCTGAGTCATTTCTAATTCAGCCGATTCAGTCGCATCTGGGAGCTGCCAAAAAGGTGGGACCGCCACGGGTGTAGCTGGTCCTGCCTGGGATAGACTAGGAGACCATGACGAACAGACAGCTCAAATGGAGTAAGGGTAGCGCTGAGGTACTAAAAAAAAACACACACACACAACAAATGTTTATCAAACGTACCCAGAACGCATAGTGGGAACTAAGTGAGACTACTGCTACGGTATGCCTTTATAGTCCCCCAAATCCAGAATATGACAGATAGATCGGCGCGGATTCCGGCAGCTGCACGCTCCAAAGCCCCACGCACCAGATACCCGAGTTCGCAGGCCGAGCTCGCCGCTGGCGCACGACCAAAGTGCGCGGGACTTAGCATAAATTTCGCCCCGTTGCCGAATAAATTTCCAATCAGGAAATGCGCTACCACGAAATCATTCCTCTGGCTTCGGAGAGACAGAGACAGTAAAATGCAGAAAAGATGGCTGAGGACAGTTGCATGCTGGATGGAAGGCAGATGAAAAGGAAACCGCAAAGCGTGCTGGGGCGCCAGCAGAGCCAGTGAATCATAAATCATAATCAAAATAGTTTTCACCACCGTCCATTCTATTTCCAGCTTTTTATTATTCGAACTGCTTACTGCCTTATGCTGAAGACTATGTACATATACATATTTGTCAGTAATTTGTTCCCCATAAAAGTACCTATCATGGTACTTTTAGGTGGTACTCAATGCTATTATCATGGTATTTACGTGCTAATCACTTACACGAAAACAACCAAAGCAGTTCAATAAAAGCTTTATGTGGACACATATTACGCCTTGAATCCAAATGCCTACGAACTACGATGCATCATTGCATCACGTGCCGTTGGAAATTCCTCAAACCATAGGCCTCTACATACAAAACGTGCACGGGTAAGTATTGACATGGAGGGACTGGCTCTTCACCCGCCTCCGTTAATGCATTTGATCAATGCATTCGATATCCATTCGAGGCCGACCGCCACCAATACCTACTGAGAGTCAGGCCGCGCAGCATCGTGTGATGCGGCACAGCATAACCGCAGGCGTATATTACTAGCGACATCTAGTGGCAGGAGTTTATAGCTTCGTTGCGGCCGCTAGATGGCAGTAGCGCCAACGCCTGGCCTCAAGAGGCTGGTCTTACGTCGGCATAGGTGGAGAATTGTGACCAGCTGGGGGTGCTCGGGCGCAGCAAATCCGCCGCCGCCTAGCGGTGACCTTGACCCGCGCCGCCCGGCCGCGGCTCCAAAGCAAAGCCGGCGTGGCCGGCGTGGAATTGGGAGAGCTCGAGCACCCCCAGTCCAGCACAATTCTCCACCCGTGTACGTCGGCGTCCGGCGAATGGCATTGATGTAGAAATTCAAGGGTGGAGACCGTCAGAATTAGGGGATATCACTATTAGGGACGTGTCTCATACCTGTTCCTACTGGCCCATCAAGAATGTCATCATGTAGCCACCACCATCCATCCTAGCCATCATCAGGACCGCCATCCGCATCCCCCTCGCGCTTCTCTTTCCAAATCGTCGGTCACCGCCACCCACCAGACTACCGGCGGTGATATAAGTTCTCTTTTGAACTACATCCTCTCCGGGGTGACCGTCTAAGCGGCAGGGCTGACTGTCGCTCATTGAAATGCTCACTGCTCAGTTAAATATTTTACGCTCAAAATAGCAACAACTCAGTTATATCAGGCACGCATTGAGTCTTCAGAGCAATGCAATAGTGCAGCATCGACATGGAAAAGACACTGCATAATAGCTGTACCCGATAGGACCAATCGAAGTTCGCCATCGCTACCCATGAATAGCAACAAACCAAAGTGGAGACGAAAAAATGTATTCACAGGACACCTCACCTGTAAACTTAGCTCAGCGTTACGTAAGATAATCTCGGTGGTTTGCACTTCTACCCATACGCGCCAGGTATTTACAGGTCCTTTCCGATCACAAGACGCAGCTCACAGCATCCCGCGACCAACTCAAGTCAAAGTTATCATGACCGACTTATGGGGGCCACAAGCCATGCCAGTAACAAGATCTCTCTGGGCTCATAATAGACCCAATCACGCAAAACTGACCCGCGCAAGGGCTCTGCTAGCCCGCCGGCGCCACCCCTATCACATCTGGGAAGAGGGCGCCACATGCTCTACACAGGCTAAACATGGGAAACGAAACGGTAATGCATCTGCACTCTAAGCGTAAAGAAGAGTTCCTGATCTTCAGCACTGCTGCCAGTCTGCAGTTAACTACTGCAAGAAAATAAATCACTTCAAAATGACAGACTTGTCAGTGTGAACACAAGATTAAGCAAGGATGGTATCACATTTAACACATCGGAGCTAGATGGGAGACAGACCTGGCTTTCAGCTCAGCACCGAACACGCCGCCAGGTGCCTCCCCGTCTATGGTGGCCGGGACAAGAGAAAGCACCGCTCTGCTAAGTAAACCGAGAGCCGGCTCGGCTCTGGCTACCGAGAGGCTCAGCACATACAACGACTGCAGCTCCGGACACCAAACGACTATCTCTGTACTCAACGTTAATTCTGCACTCCGAGCGCCGGCTCATCGCACCGCCAGCGGTGAGACAGCTCATCGGAAACTCAGACCAACTCACCAGCTCAGTGTTCCTGCTCCAGTCGCGTTATAAGCTCAGTCAGTGAGAGCCGGACACCGGTGGTTCTCACTTCACCGGGGCACTAACTTGGTGTACCAGCACCACCCGTTCCTCTGACCACGCGGCACCAGCCGACCTGCTCAGCACCACTCGTCGACACTTTTCCAGATGCACAGAGCGCCAGTCGACCCTTGAAGCACGGTACCACAGCACAACCGTATCACACCGTCTACCCAACCACCAGGATCGTGCCAGCATCTCTTCACCTCGGCTTCACTCCGGAGGACCGCCGTAGAGAGCCGGCGTTCTCCCGACGATCGGACCAACCGAGCCACACCACGGACCCTGCTTTCCCACACCTCAGCGGTCACCTCCGCTCCTCCTCTCACCACTCCCTCCACCAGCTCCTCTCCCTACTCTCTCTCCCTCTCACACACTACTCGGCTGCGAAACGTGCACCTTGACCCGCTTCGGCTTTCCGCGCTTTCCCTTGACCTTGCGAGTCGATCCTGCCGAGGCTACCGTGGAGGTTGAATCTGCCGGCGAGGAGGCGCGCGAGGCCTTCTCCCACAGCTTGCTGAGGCTGTCCTTAAGGGCGCCCTCCTCCAGCCACTCGCCGGAGTGAGTGGCCAGATCGCAGCCGTCGCCGAAGAGCGCCGTTCGTACGGTACGACGCTGGGTGTCGCTGTGCTTCTGACAGCGCACAGAGTGGGTGCACATGTGGCGGGTGCTCTCGGAAATCACGCCGCATACCTGGTGGCAGAGAGTGGGGAGGTTAAACAGGAAAGTGGGGGTGACACTTTTATATAATGGTCTCACTGAAAAAAGCAACAAATAATACCTAGCAAAAACTTGCAAAGGAAAACTGGTATTATCCAACAAAGAAAGCGCAATATAAAATCGCCGAAGCAAAGCACAAGCACAACACAATATCTCCAGCACAACTATTTTCTCTGATCATCTCCAGCAGAATCCACGACAAGGCTATCCACCCCTCAGCGCCCATCGAGCGACTCACCTGACTGAAGAGCACCTTACGCTCCTCCTCTGTGAGCTGCTCGAACTGGATCGCCTGCTCGGGTGTCGACGGCGATGAGGACGGGTTGGACGGGTTCGACTTGGTGTCGGAGTCCTTGTCGCCGCCGCCGTTCTTACGGTTCTGCTCAGAGGGAGGCAGTGAGAAATGTTAGTTAAATGAGACATGAACTGGGTGAACAGACACAATTCTCTGCTGGTCAGATCAACAAATCCTATGATCTGGTTTGGTACAAAAGGCCCAAAACTGCAACGACACTAGCAAGACTCGGAACAATTAAGAAAAAGACAAGCTTTTCGAAAAAGTCGGAAAATACAGTATTTCGTCGCCATTTGAGTACATTATGTAAGTACCGACGAGTGAAATGTGTCCAGCTGCCTACAATAAAATAAATGCCATTTCACGACCAAAAAACAATACCAAAAGTCATTGTCCCACGTATTCATCGAACAACGAAAACCTAGTACCCCTCCAAGGCGCGTCATCACCACCCCTCACCTTATTCCTGCGCGGCGACAGTTTATCCCTCTTTTTCTTCTTCCTCTCTCCGGTCCACTCCTCCTCCTCCTCGTCCTCGCTCAGGCCGTAGTTGGTCTCGCGCTGGTTGTTGGCGATCCTCTTGCTGGCCAGCCGGGACGAGTTGCGGCCCAGTCCGACGCACTTCTCCAGGTGCGGCGCGAAGCGGGTGCAGGCGATGCTGCGCGCGCAGACGGGGCACTTGGCGTCGGGCGGCCGCTTCATCAGCTCCGGCTGTCCGAGGACGTCCAGGCCGGGCGCCGGCGGGTCGAGCAGCCGGAACTCGTCCTGTTCGTCGCCGTCCATCCCCTCCGCCTCCATCTCACCCGTCTTGGCCGCCCGGTGCACCTGGATAGGGTGGGGAGGGGAGGGGTCAGGATGGGGGAGGGGGGAGTCTGCACAGCTTGAAGGAGAGAAGCAAATTTTCACTGCAAGTGTTAACTGTTAAGTGTTAGGTATAAAAAATTTATATTTTTGTAGTGAAGATTGACAAGTAAGCGACCTGCAAGGCTTCTGTATATCTTCGTAATGGGTTTTTAACATTCAAAAGGTCATGCCAAACACCATTCTTGACACATTGTGCTGCTAGATTGCACTCACAAGTCACAGGTATTTGCACCTCATGATACATTGTTGTCGCCAGTCAAGGGGAGCACTCAGGAATCACACTGACACACTTAGCTCAAACACACAAACAAATAGGTGCTTACATCAAAGCAAACAGCAAGTGTAGTCTCATCTATCAGGATCTCTGCCACAGCCTCGCTGAGTTGGTCCAGCGTGAAACCACCCTCGCCGCGCACCAGCCGGCGCACAGTTCTGTCCAGCTCCTTCAGCGTCTGGTCTGGCATCACGTCAGGCAGAGGGCCTTACAGGCGGATCTGGTCCCTAAAAAGTGAAAGGAGGCTGCAGATGAGATATCAGCTGGAGACATTGGAAACGGTGATCAAATAAAAAATAAGTCAGGTCAAATGCACATTGCACAAGTTTCAGCAAAGTAAACCTGGTCCTAGTTATAATGCTTAGAATGATGCCACTTGGATGATTTTGGACATGTCATGTACCCAACAACAGGCCTCAGGAGGGGCGGAGCATGGAGGTGCTTGTGGTAGTCCCCGGTCCGGCCCAAACCAAGGCTCTATTGAAGCCCAAACTCAGACTCACGCAAACCACTGTGCATAAGCAGGGTGAGGGCTATTTATACTATTTTTGTATTGTAATTTTGTATTATAAATTGTATATTTATATTTATATACACTGTGGGTGAGGGCCTCGGTGTACGAGCTCTCGTGTAGCTACCGAGTAATTCACCCATCGTGAGTTACCGACTTACTCACCAAAGTCGATACCACACAGCGAAACTCAGAAGTGATGGCTGACCGCATAAAAAGTTACTGATAAGCTTCCATTTGCACTTAATTAGCGTTACCTATTTTATCAAAATTTTATCGCCCAAGTTCTATATTTTGGAGCGCTGAAGACAAACATAACGCAAAAGTAATATTTTAATACTTTCTAAGATTTGATTTGTTTTGATGACATCATAGGTTCTGTGAACTTTTCGTTCAAGATGTTATCTTTTTTCCCTAAAATATCTTCCATATGCTCCAAGCTAGCTCACTTGCAGTTTTTACATATTTATCTGTGAAATTAGGGCAATACAACTCCAATGATACATAAACCTACCACAAATTAGGGCGACAAACGGAAAATACTTATGATGTCATTTGTTATTTCTCTATCAATAGTTAAGCATTTTGGCGGTTTATGTCAAATGTGTTGAATGCGCTCTAAGCACAAAAGTCCTCATTTTTTTTTTGTGCATACTTAATGCTGATACTTGATATTTAATCACATGATTTTGATTTTTGATCATATTTTATTCCTTGGCTTACATTTCACTTGCGGAATGTGATTGTTTCTAATCTAAAGCAGATACACTGGAAAAAGGATCCCAAAGCGTTCGCCTCAGTTCAAGTTCAACCTTCAACTGAATCTAACCTAAGGTACTTACGTGATATAGCGGTTGGATTAATTGAAAATTGTTTATATGCTACTCTCTGGCCAGGGTGCAAAATGAGGTTTAATTCAATCAACAACCACACTGCAAAATTGAAATACTGTTCATGGGTCAATGAGCGCACCAGTCCAAGTCCAAGTAAAACAACTGCACCAACCTTTTAAACAGGGCTGGAATGCCAGACTGGAAAAATACACATTATGCCAAATATGTCTGGCACAGTGGCAGCCAGCAGGATTGCGCCTAAATTTAAAAAAATTCCGGCGTAACTTCGTTTGCACTGAATTCAGAGCATGGTGGCCATTGAATTTTTTGGTGCAGGATGCGGCCACATAATTTTTTGGCGAATGGCGGTCACCAATTTTTTTGGCATGCTGGTCAATCTAGCAGCAGGTTTGCTCTGCGGGCAGCTCTGGAGAGTGGAGAGGCTCAGGACGAGACGACCCCCGCCCCTGTCGTCTTGTGCTCCGACTTGTGAGCTGCCCTGAGTCTACTCAATGGAGGAGCGCCCGCCCAGGTGAGGCCCCAACCCGAGGCCTCGCGTCAAATGGCGCGACAACTGGTCCGAGTTACCATTCAGGCCACTCTTAGCTAGCACGCTGCCACTCCCCATCCCCGGAGAGGACCGAGAGGACGCCGCCGTTTCGGGGCACCCAGTGAGGGCGGGCTACTGGGTCCGCTCGCTCTAGTAAGTGCACCGAATCGGCCGTCTCCCCTCCGCGGCGTGCCAGCAGTGCACGGACAAGCGGTGCCCCACAGCGCTTTGCGCTGTGTGACGAGAAAAGGTGGATGTGCTGAAGCACGTGCTGCTCCGCTGCCCGGCCCTCGGTGAATTCCAGCGCAAAATCGCTTGCGCCGAATTTCAGCGCATGAGGGTCTCACGGGCGTCCGGTGTAGTGTAAGGATGTTTTCCAGTCTGGCACCTGCCTACCTACGTGAAGCCTGCACTTACGATACTTAATTTCAAGCTGCCTTAAAAGGTTAATATTTCCCTGGCTGACTCCATTTTTCTCCCATGCCTAATCTTTCTCAATGCTATTCCAGTATAGCAGTTCAACACATTTCCATTAAGGATCTGCTTCACTCTTCACAGTTCAGCACCCCTCCCCCCCACACCAGTAAATCCACACTGCACCTTTGGATGCACGGCCTGCACTCTGTAGTCTCTTGTGATGTAGCTCTTTGCAAGCAGTCTGCTCCTTTTGGCCTTCTGTGTCCGGACTGTGTGACTTGAGCGGTTCTGCTCAATGTAGGCCCTTGCCCTGTCATGTACCTATCTACTGTCCCTCACGTCTGCTGCTCGTTTCTGCCGTCAGGACGATGCCGGTGCCGCCGGGTCCGCTGGCGCTGCTGCGCTGCCGTCCCCAGGACGTGTTCTCGACGCTGGAGGGTGACGAGCCGATGGCCAGCCAGCCCGACTCGTACTGTTGCCGGTTCTGCCCGCGGCCCGGCAGTCGGCACGTGCTCGTCTCCGCCGATGAAGACGGGGCGATTAAACTGTGGGACTCGCGGCCGACCGCCCCGCAGCGCGTTATCCATGGTAAGTGGGACGAGGCGGGAGGACGAGGGGGAGGGTCGTACTACGAATATCTCTTGTGGGTGAAATATAACGGAATTTCTCTCTTTTTTTAGAAGTCATTGCTGATTTAATTTGGTAGGTACTGGGAGTGTTAGTTGGAATGTTAGCAAATTATTACACTGTTGTGTTCTAACGGATTTTGCTTTTTCATCCTGTACATCATCTTTTTTTTTCTAATTATCTGCTAAGAAAGAAATATAGGTACTTCGTTTGTGCATTATTTGTTGTCTGCGCCGGTCACTTCATTCGTGTATGGTTGTCTGCGCCCGTCAGTTAATGCACAACCTCTTTCATACCACCCCCCCCCCCCCCGTCACATTTACAGCCGAGGCGGCGCACACTAACGCCATCTACGAGCTGGACTGGTCTCACGACGGTCGGCACCTGCTCTCGGCCGCCGGGGACCGCACCGTCAAACTGTGGGATGTCGGAGAGGCGCAGCTGACTCAACTGGCCGTGTTCTCACGTCACTCGCGAACGGTGAAGACGGTCACCTTCCTGCAGGAGGATCCCTGTGAGTGGAGACGCGGGGTGGGGTCTGTGGGTAGAGCGGTGTACAGATAGTAAACTGGATGTGACAGGCATAGCTCATGGGTGGCAGGATACGGTAGGATAAAGAATAAAAAACACCCGTCCGTCGTTTCCATTCTCGGCATACTGAAATCCTTCTCCTTCACGCTGCAACCCCATTCCGGGCTGGACAGTGGACAGGCACTTTTGTCTCATGCGGGCTGCTCCCTTGGAGCGGCGCCGCTGCTACCGATGGAGCGCACCCCGTAGCCAGGTGCAGAGAGTGCTTGGAGGGCTGGTCAGTCTGTCCATTCGGACGGGTTCAGCCCGGCGACTCGCTAGGGTGCCTGCCCAGATCAATGTCTCCCCCTACATTCCTATCATCTATTTAATTCCTATCATCCTTCCGGCTCTGAAATGGTCTTGTCAGACCAAAAGGGCCTAACCCAACAAAAGAAACAAACAAAAGGAATAATACCATGCTCGTTGGAAATAATCGATCTAAATGAATGCTGGTGACTTCGTTTGTATGACAAACCATCAGAAGTAACCATCAGTTGCCATCTGAAGCACTGAATACGAAGAACGCTGACTCGGTATCTACAAAGACGGTCTGACGTATATCTGACGTCTGTCCGTTTCAGGTGTGTTTGCCTCGGGCGGCAGGGACGGTGCCGTTATTGTCTGGGATGTGAGAGTCACCAAACAAGTCAGCCACGAGATCCGGCCGAAAAGGCTCGACCCAGGTGAGCACCTTCAGCACCCTGACTCGTCACCGTGTGTGTCGTCAGCTTCAACCTCGTATTTAACTCTTACTCTAGTGACATTACTTATGTCATACTCTAAACTTGTCATCCTTTCTACAGTCCATTGTTCCGAAATCATGAGAAATTTGAAGACGCACTAAAGGTGTGAGAAGTGAGAATTCAGCCTGTTCCATCAATTGTCAGTCTCTACTGTTCAGTGTCTATCATCAGTGCTCTGACGGCGCTGCTCCACTGCAGACTCTCGTTTGCGCGGCGCGTCTGCGGCTCGCCCCGCGGAGTCTACCGACACCATTAGTTCACTGGCGTTCCGGGACGGCACTTACCTCCTGTCGGCGGCCAGCGGGGCCAGGTACGTGGCATGGTCTAAACTAATGGGGGCGGGTCACGGGGCAGGTCACTGGTACTGGCTGCACATACGGTTCATGGCTCATGGGTGGGCTACTACATGTAGTTTCTAAGTAGCTATTGGGGTTTGTTTCTGGGTCTAGTTTCGCGGTCAGGTTAGTGGGTCTGTTAGATGGATTTGGCATCTCAGCATTTGTTTCTGTTAGATAGGATTGCGACTGGACACATGTGGATCATTTGTAAATATCTGGGCAATGCAGGCTAGGGTACAAGAGTATCAAGTATGTATTGGTAGATTTTGTAGTCTCATACTCGTAGCAGGCCTTCAGGGCTTGACTGTCTATGGTCGTGTTATTAGTCAGGTTACCACACAGTCACAGGCCAGCGGCCCACAGATGACATGATGTCCCCTTTCTATCGAATGACACAGCTCCTGGTACTAGTGTCCCTCTGACTAGCCCCTCTCTCATCTCCCTCACAGCGCGGTGAGCGTATGGGACCTGCGCAAACTCTACTCGATAGCACAGCGTCAGCCGCCGCCCGTGTACTGCCTGGACGGAGCCGAGCCCGGCCGAGGGGTGGTTTCCGTGACAACCGACCGAGAGCAGGGCCAGCTGTACGTCAGCCGTATTAATGACGTCATCCAGCGATACAGTATGACCAGCTGGACGGCAGACCCCGGTGAGCGGAGGGACGGGCTCGGGGTCGGGCGCTGGGAGGCTGGCCTGGCGGGTGAGGGCGAGGAAAGCTCGGGCGTTATCGGGGCAGCCGGATGTGAGCGGCGGTATATCTTGCTTAGTTTAATTATAAAAAAGATGATAATTTGCTTGTTTCGTGTCTGACCTCTTATATGTAGATGTCTGATGTCCCGTTCTCTTGTCTCTTCTTATCTAAGCTCATCTTTCTAAATATGGTTGCCTGCTTTATCTAAGCATTTTCTTCTGTTTTTTTTTTTCTCTTTAAGTGTTTGCTGTAATGCAATGCGTACTCATGATACGACGAAATGTTCGGACGTTTCGTCGAGCGATATGTTTTAGTTTTGATCGTGACAATCCCATCCTACTCAAAGGCATCTCCTTATATTTTGGCAGCGTCAGATGGGACTCCCCCTGAAACTCCAAATGCCTCACACTTTTTACGCGCGCGCTACAGCTGACGTTTTGTCTAAAACTCACCATGTCACCCCCCTGAACCCCTCACTGACGGCTCCCCTATCTCCGGCAGCGGGCACCTTTTCGGGGGCGCAGTGCGGCTCGTTTTTCGTGCGCTGCTCCGTGTCGCCGAACGGCGGCTGGCTGGCGGCCGGCGGCTCGGACCACTCGGCTCGACTGTGGTCCACGCGCACCGCGGGGCCGCCCGTCGGCAGACTCGGCGGTCACACAGACGAGGTCACCTGTGTGGCCTGGAGCTCCGACTCTAACACGGTGAGGACGGGGGAGGGGAGGGGAAGGGAGGAGAGGAATGGAAGTTAAGCTGAAGAACAGGATAGTAAAGAGAAGGAACGTCAGTGATCTGAAGTGTTCGGAGAGAAAAGGAAATTAAGTGTAACGAGAGGAGCTGAAAAGGAGGGGTTGGGAATTAAACGAAAGGAAAGGAAGGAGTGTAGATGAGAAAAGAGGAGAGGAGAGGAGAGCAAGGAAGTACTTGGGAGGAAAGACTGATCGTATTAAAAGGAGGAGAGAGGAAGGGAATATCTTTCAATAAAAACACATGAGAGAAGAGAAAACGGAGGCATTGGATTGGATATACAGAGGACTGAGTCCCCCTCACACGCTGCCGGACCGAGGCGGCGGCGCCGGCGCCACGAGAACCTGTAAAATGAAATGGAGGAAGGGAGTCGATTGGAAAGTAAGGGAAGGGAGTAGGTGAGGCCATATAGTGTCACGGGCTCAGTTGGTGTCGGGATTGTCGCCAGTTTTATAAGGCGTTCAAATTGTGAGACGTCACATGCATACTCATTTGTATGACTTTATAAAGTCGGTGGTAATTGCAGTGATTTTGTGTAGTTAACTTTCATCACTGTTACCGTGTGGTTTGAATAATTTCCAATGCGTCAGGTGTTGTTCTAGTGACTACAGGCGTATCTGTTAGCCCAGTTTCGTTCTCGGTCTCCGAATAACATCCACTGTACCCGGTTTCAGCTGGCGACCGTGTCTGACGACCAGCACCTGCGCCTGTGGCGCACCGACCCCTGTCCCGGAGACACTGACACGAGGGAGGACACATCCGTCCTCACCATGGAGCGCCTGGAGCCGCCCGCGTGTAGCATGTGTGGCAGCTGCGGTCCCTCGCCCGGGGCGACCCCGCCACTGCCGCTGTACCCCCTCTGCCGCGAGACGGGCATACGGTGGCGACCGGCGCCGCTCCGTGTGTTGTACGGGTCGCCCGGCGCCGCCGCCTCGGTCCGGCAGGGTGGGAGGGGGACTCAGACCTCCGCCGCCGCCGCGAGGTCGTCGGTCCTCTCCAGCTGGGTTTCAGCTCAGAAGGAGACACCCGAACCGACAGCTGCGAGAACCTCTCCTAGAAAGCGCCAGGTGGAAGGAGATGGAACAGAGGATAGGCCGAGCAGCAGAGGGCATTTGTCGCTGGCATTGAGCCCGTCCAAGATGTGTTTTTCTCCGGGAAGTGCGTCCAGGAGTGGTCAGTCGACGCCCGTTAAAAGTCCGTTCAAGAGGTTCGCGGTGACGCTGAGTCCCTCCAAAGCGAGCACCTCCGCCGCGGGAGCGGTCTCGCCCACCGGGGGCAGTCCCGGCTGCTCGAGCTGGAGTCCCACTCGACGCTCTCTCAGACTCTCGCCTTCCAAGAGTGGTCGAGCGGGGACACCGACAGATAGTCTGGGAGCCTCCTCGACGGCTGGCTCCCCGAGACGCTCCGTGCTGGGGGATGTGAATGACGAGCGCGTGGTCACCCCGACCCCTCCGGCGCTGCGCTGGTCGCCCACGAGGGCAGCCGTCACCCCGTCGTCAGACCCCGCCGGGGGTCTGTCCCGGTCCCCTCACACGCCAGCCCGCCGCTCGCCGCGGAAGACGCCGGCCAAGGTTCTGTTCTCGGCCAGTCCGGCGGCTCGCGGCGCCGCCTGCCTCACCCCGGAGACGGGCCGACGGCGGCCGGCCGACCAGTACCGATCTCCGACGGCCGACCTGCCGAATTTCGTGCTGGATGGTCGCTCGCCGCACCGTCCTCTGCCGTCGCGGCCCCGCCGCCAGCCGCAGCCCAACTGGCTCACCTGTCTGTCGCAGAGGAAACGGGCGCAGCAGAGCCCCGCGGCGGCGCCTCCGGCCGCCAAACGCAGTCGTCGGCCGGCCAGAGGAAGGAAACAGACGCCCGGGTGAGTGTACCGAACAGGTGCGTGTGTGAGTGCGTGCACGCGTGCGTGGGTGCGTGGGTATGTCTATTTTGTGCGCGGGATTAGGAGTGGTATTGTCGAGATTGCGACCAATGGTAGACCCGAAGAAGAAAATGTTCAGCCTACTTTCGCTGCTGGCTTTAGGAACACATTCCTGTAGTTTTCGGGTATTTGGCTTACTCTGCGAAGTTCAAAACCGTAGAACTCTTCAAGCTGTTGAGCCTTCCAACGTTTGTAGTATTCGTTGCTAATGGTTATAAATCTGAACGATAGGTGCGTCAGATTTTTTTTTTTGTAAGGTTGGCTCTGTCGCAGTATTACATTTTGATTGGTTGGTAATTGGTATTGTCTGCTCTGCTACGAACATCGACAATATTCGGACGTTTTTAACCGTAAATGTGTAGCCTTTAAGGGGCTGGCTGTGTATGCATTTGTAAACATTTACATTTTAATAAATACTGATGAACTTTGAACATCAATGCTGGTTATGTTTCGATATGTAGTAGTCTATGGTTTCGTATAACTTTATGAGCCAATGTCGAATGGATGGAGCTTTATTCTCCTATAGCGTACACCCAAAGAGCTTTGATGACGGAGGAGGAGTGGATGGAGTTATAACCACCTTCTCCTTAAAATGACAGAGGACATGTGCATCAAAATATACAGATCTAACGAAAGTATGACACAGAGAAAGAGGGGGGCTTAAATAATGTTTGCATGTATTACTCTATATAGATGACATCTCGGCATTAGCTTTCTGGACGCTTCGATAGCACGATGGGAGCATCAGGCAGCCCCGACAATGCACAGACACACTGACAGTTACGATATATAACTTACCCTCTTCCCTTCCCTCATCGTACATAGCTGCAACTCAGGCTGTCAACGAACACGTGTTTGACGCGTTTACGGCCGAGCATGTCTGCGTGTTACGTGCTGCTGTTCAAAAGGCACAACTGTGTTCAGGCGGCAGACGTACTATCACATCACTAACGCATACAGGTGACAACAAAGACGACCCAAGAACGGCGCTCTTGCAGCCCTGTCCCAGACCTCCCAGCAGGGTCACGGAATTGCTACAATCCGTGCTGAATGAATGAGGCTCACGGGGGCCGCGGACGCCTCCCGCTCTTGGAGAAGCCATAACATCAGGCTTGCTCGATAGAAACACTGGGCGCCGGCAGCGGTGATGGGCTGGAGCTGAATCTCCCCAGCCTCCGCTACCCCGCCGGCGCCGGGCCTGCGTCCAGTCCACGCCGTCCCACCCGACCCGTCACTGACAGCCGCACTCTTCCGCCACCATGTCCATGTACTTCTTTAGCACCACCATGTTGTCATCAGGCAGGAAGAGCACGTGCAGACTGCTGAGCGCGCTGGGCACGCAGGAGGGCCTCTGCACCATCTGCTGGGCGTCTCCCAGACCCATGTGCTCCACGAGACTCTGCACTGTAGCGTGATTGGTGGGCCGCTGCTCCTGCGTCAGCGGAAACTCACACCTCCCCAGGCAGTGGTAGGCGTCGTAGCCGCTCGGCGCCACCACGAACGAAGACCAGCCGATCTCCTGGAAGTCGATGTAGAGCTCGCGGCGCTGACACCCGGAGGGGATCTCGGTGAGGTCGGCCTCCCTCCGCCGCCGGCCGGTGGATGCAGAGCGGGCGTGGCGTACCAGCTCCTCTGTAGGGAGAGAGGGGGGAGGAGTCAGTGGGACTAATGACACGGTACGGGGTGGTGCGGAACGGCTCGTAGTCGTACCGGTAAAGATGACAGACCTGAAGTGAGATGACAGACAGAAGTGCATAGCGTTTACCAAGTCCTCGCATATGCAGCCAAGCACGCAAGAATGGTAACTACGCAGAGGGCTGCATTGCAATGGACTGTGCCTGTCCAATACCATAAGATAGGTAATCGGTTGATTGTACGACTGATCGTATCTGATCGCTTGACATTCGCTGTCCTCATTGAACCAAATCAGCGGTTGTAGACGGAGAAACGTAGACACTAGGTACGTGACTACTGTGAGACATAACCCTCCTACATGTCAAAAACACGAGCCCATGACATGCAATACATGTTGCATAACCAGGTGTGGTGCAGAAAACAAGTGCGATTTTCTCCTAGATGTCTGGCGTTTGTACGCTGTCGGCTTTCCTTTCGTGTCTTGTCATCGCTTGTCCAGCTACCGTGGACAATAGGTCTCCGATTTGGGGAGGTCGGGGTCTCCCCAGGCAGGTGCGGCGCCCGGTCGGCCTTTCCATTCATCGCTCGGTGGTGTAGAGGAGTGGCACCGTGTCAATTAACCGATGACAATTTAGACGGAGAGTCATGACCGGTGACTCGTTGACCCTTTGTTGTTTGATGGTGAAGTCGAGGCTCATGTCTTTGTAAGATGTTGATCCGTGCCCGCCGACATTTTACCGTTCAGAGTTTGGTGGTGTGCCGTGCGGTTGTCCACTCACCGTCGATAATTTGATGGTGGAGACCCGTGACCGTTTATTACTCACCGTTCAGAACCAAATGCTGACCTGTAGGTACCCGCTGTTCACTCACCGTTCAGGGTCTAGTGGTGCGCCGTGCGGTTGTCCACTCATCGTTGATAGTTTAGTGGTGCGCCGTACAGTTGTCTACTCACCGTTCAGGGTCTGGTGCTGCCCCACGAGGCTCTCACTCACCGTTCAGAGTCTGGTGGTGCGCCGTGCGGCTGGTCACTCACCGTTTAGGGTCTGATGTTGGGCCGTGCGGTTGTCACTCACCGTTCAGAGTCTGATGGTGGGCCGTCGTTTGGTCACTCACCGTTCAGGGTCTGGTGGTGCGCCGTGCGGTTGTCGCGGCTGTAGAGCACCAGCAGCGGCTGCCGGTTGTGGTGGTGGCCGCGCCGCGACACGTTCACCCTCTGCCACCGACCGTCGGCCGTCTCCTCAGTCAGACTCAGCGTCAGCGGCCGTCTGTCCGCCGCCCCCTGTCCCGTCACCGCCGACCGCACTCGCAGCACGGCCCAGCCAGCGGCGCCGGGAAGCAGCGCCGTGTCCAGCGGCCGGCCGCCACCCGCCGACACACGCACACGGCGCACGGGCGCCACGTGCGACACGTGCGACACGTACACGTGCAGCTCGGCCTCCAGGAGATCCTCCGCCGGAGACGGCGCCACGTCGAACTGCAGAAAGTCGGCCGAGATGGGCTCTGGAATCAGATAGAGGGGAGCGACATTAGATAACGCTCACATCATCGCAGCTCTACCACGGCATATGCAGTTCACAGATCCGATCAGCGTTGATTATTTCTTTGATAGAGTGTCATTGAAGAGTAACAATTTTCCAACTGGCGTACTGGAGACGAGTTTTGCAGGAACGATCCCGTTTCAATTCCTAACTTTTGTGTGTACAATTTATAATATGACCAGCCAAAACAGCGACTTGCAGCAGGCCTTACGTTCCACTCGTCTCCTTCCGTTCCCTTGCTCGTGAACCGGTGAGCAAACGTCTGGCGGAGCGTTTACGCCAAGTTATCTCATTCTCACTTGCTTCCCTCCAACTGCTCACCATCTACAAATGTGGTCAGTATCCATATCCAACTTGCAATCCTCACCTGCCTCTCTGAGACTGCGCACCACGTTGGCGTCATAGGGCGTCGGCCCCCTCCACCGTCCTCGTCCGTCGGCCACGCTGTTATAAAGGTCAACCATGAGCGCCGGAGGCGGCGGCGGCCGCCGGTGGCTGAACTCGACCTCTTCAGGGAAGCCCAGAGCCTGGGGGCAAAAATTAGGGTATGGGTGTCAGACGAATAACACAAATAAGCAGTGGTATGTGGATAAAAGCTGCGAAGTTTGATCTTAGAAGATAAGTGTTATGTTCACTATGTGAATAATTTGTTGTACCGATGTATCTTACTTCAATAAGGGAGTTAGTGTTGCGTTTTTCATGCCATACAGTCTCATCAACACATGTTTCCCCTTCATTAATTACCTTGTTTTAATACAGTTCCTACCTTGCTTTGTTACTAAACGGTGCTGTCCTTACGCCCTTAGCTGTAGTTTTCAGCTATTTTGTTAGCTGTAACAGCTGTAATAGTGCTTTAGACATGACTGGCGGTGGGCAGGCACCGCTGTCGACTGCCGCCATCGCTGTTCAATTGAAGAAGCCATTTGTCGGAAACCCCGAAAGCAGCTGGGCAGTCTATGTAGAACCATTTACGGCAATAAAATACATGTCGCCAAACCGCAAAGCGTGCCCTTGTGGCTGGTTTGATAACTGGACAAAGCGTACAAATGTCAGGACAACAAATCATTCCGGCCGGCTCACTCGTGCCGTCCTTATCGACATGTGTGACAAGAGCCGGTGCATCTATCAAAATAGTCTGAACCGAGTCCGCTGTTTGGCTGTCTGGAAAGCCCTCGTGGGTTTTAATTAGTGGAATTCAGTCCGACGCAAAGTTAGTCGAAATTGCACTTCGTAAATGCATTGATGATTTGTGGGAACAAAATGGGATCTGTAAAAGGACTGTCAGGGAAAGTTTAATGCAAGCATGATATATAAATCCCATTGACAATTAAAAGGTAGAGGTTGTCCCATGGTCTACCTTCACAAACGAGGAGATGTTCGTATGAGTTGGTGGTAGGTGTGCAGTCAGAATCCAAAACCGAGACGTTGGCGTTCTGTGCTTTTTCAATCTTCACGCAATAATATGCTAGGCGTAAAACGGTTGGCGGCGACGCATCAAAATATACCAATTGACATTAATCCTGTCTTTAACAATCAGATTAGGTATTTTAGGTCAACATGTTTCCACCAATGTCGAAGTTGTATCCGTTCAACCAAATTTAGACCAATCTGTTAACTACCTAACCAATAGGCCTTTTCTGTCCTCGAACAAATGAATGCTTGACTTGATGTATTAGGATAAACCCTTTATTGAACCATTTCAGAAACATACGAAGAAAGTAAAAAAAAAAAAATGATCTGGTTCGACCACCCTGGAGTTCCTCCACATGATCTGGAGTAGTAAAGTAATCTTGCGACCACCGGCTTGTTCGCCGTTGGGACTGAGCCCGTCCGGTAGGTTAGACAATCATGTCTAATAGATATTCTCGGCTGCAGTGAGACAGGTCATCCGGCCACTCAAATGGTCCCCCTAGAGATGTTCATATTGAAATCGGCCTCCCTAGGCTGCCTTGGTGGAGCGACCGTCAGCCCCGGGAACCGCAAATAGTTCACAACTAAGAGGATAAGCCGGTCGGTCCTGAGGATAAAATATGTAGTGAATGAGCATGCTTATGTGCTTGATTGCTAAAATAATACCTGACAGATGCGTATTGTCCAGCAAAAACGCTGAGCGACATCGCACGCATCGCAACATCAACTGCTATTGATGACAATGACCGATGAGCCGATTAAATCTACCATGATGTGCTAATTAAATGAAGCGTATCATCATTGAAGAATATATAAATTCAGGACTTTGTTTGAGCAATGAAGAGGCACAGCCG